AAATTACCAGAATAATTGTAAAAATATACAAGAACTATATACTCAATATCAAATATCTTTTACATATATAAATAATATATATATATATATATAGCTACATATAAATTTATATATAATAATAAAAAGACATATATACAAAATTTAAATAATATATACAAATACATACCTACATACAAACATTTGTTGTCAATCCTAAGTAGATAAGTAGTGTCTCTTGATTCTATTACGAAAAATGTCAAGGGAAGAGCTGGCACTTATGTCATGTGGTAGTGAACTCCATAACTTGACCGCCTTTACAGTAAATGACGCATCATACCTTTTGGTGAAGTGAGTAGGTGTTTTGAGAAGTAGGGATTTCGTAGTCCGGCATTTAGTTCCACTAGGAACCAGATATTCAAACCGCTGACGGAGATAAGAAGGAGCTAAAGTATTAGATAGTAAGAAATAAAGGAAGGATAGTACATGTAAGTCTCGACGTCTACGTATGGGAAGGCACTGTAATTGTGCCCTGTAATCAGAAACATGATCAAACTTACGCAGGCCAAAAACGAATCGAATGCACAAATTCTGAAGTCGTTCCAGCTTGTTCAGTAATTCTTCTGTAGCGTCAAAGAAACATACATCAGCATAGTCAATAAGAGGCAGAAGAAGAGCATGAGTTAAAGTGACTTTTGTTTTAATAGGAAGAAAATACTGAAGGCGTTTGAGACAATGCAGGGTGCCATTCACTTTTTTGCTTACAGAATTAATATGCGATGCCCAAGACATGTGACTATCAAAGATAACACCCAAATTTTTGGCGGTATCTGTATATGGAATCTGGATGTTGTCATATAATACAGCAGGGAGTTTTGATTGATCTAAAGTTTTTAGCACATGTGAGCTGCCAATTATAAGCACTTGTGATTTACTAGGATTGACGAGTAATCCAAAAGACTTAGCCCACAAGTTTATAGCACTCAAATCCTGATTTAGTAGAGAAATAGCACAATTTATATCTTCTGACTCAAAGTGGCGATACAGCTGCAAATCATCAGCGTAAAGGTGATAGTGAGAAGTGAGGACAGTAGTAAGAACGTTAATGAAAATAGAAAAGAGGAGAGGAGAGAGAGCGCTTCCCTGGGGAACCCCCACAGCTAGATCGCACCACTCATAATATTCTTCATCCTGGCGTACACACTGTGAGCAATCTCTCAGGAAAGAATCAAATCAGGAAATTACATAGCTTGAGATATTTAAAGAAGAAAGAATTCCCAGAAGTATATCATAGTTCACAGAGTTAAATGCGCTGCTGAAGTCCAAAAGTGTTAAAACAGAGAGAAAATTATTGTCCATAGCCCAGCGAATGTCGTCTGACACTTTTATCAGAGCACTGACTGTGCTGTGGCCAGGACGAAAACCAGATTGAAACGGATTCAACAGGCCATGAGAAGATAAGAAATTAGAAAGTTGCTTATGTACTAATTTTTCCAGGATTTTGGACATTACCGGAAGAATCGAGATGGGGCGAAATTGTGACAGGGATGTGGGCGTGGAGATTTTAGAAAGGGGAATAACGAATGCCTTTTTCCAGCAAGAAGGGAAGAAGCTCGTTTTTAGAGAAGAATTGATGAGATAAGTGATAATAGGAGCCAGTTCGTTGGTGGTAGGTCTGATCATTTGAATGGATATCCCATCGTAACCAATTGCCTTTGTGGAAATCGATGTTATACATTTTTTAATGTCATCTTCACTTACCTCACTAAAGACGAAAGAAGAACATAGTGGTCTAGTAGTGCTGGCCAAAAGGTTAAGTGTAGCATCTTTAGTGGAGTAGTTTATAGAAATAGGGGGTTCGGAAAAGTGTTTATTGAGCTCAGTTAAATTAAAAGGAAAATTAACTTTACTTGTTAAGTTACCCAGACCAAGACTCTTCAGGAATTTCCACATCTTAGCAGGATGAGTGTTTTCAACCTCAGCATGAATATGGTTCCTTTTTGCATCCCGACACATCTTGCTGCAACGATTGCGTAGCTTTTTATACAGTGATAGATTTTCATCACAGGGATGCTTCTTATAATGTCTCTTGGCCTTATCCCTTTTGGACATCATTTTTTTAATTGGTAACGTAATCCATTTTTTATGTGAAAAAATTGCCAAACGAGCAGACGGTTCACCTGATGGTAAGTGCATACCGCCACCCATGGACATCTGCTACACCCGAGGGTTACAGATGCGTTGACAACCCCATATAAAATTGGGCTCCGGCTACTTCACTCACCAGACGAAACGCGAAAGTATTTGTCATACTTCCACTTTACGCTGGTCTTCTGTGAGGTCGTGGTACTTACCCGGACGGGCCTGCCCATTCGTGCAACAACCGAGGCTGCTGCGTGGCCCTACCACCGTCGAATTTTTTTTTATATTATTTGCTTTATTACTTAATATATATATGGGTTAGCGGTTTACTGTTGTGTTCGGATACTTTTATTTTTCGGACGTTGACAAAGTTACAGCAATTCATCAATGTCGTTCTTAAAGTCATTAACGCAGTTAGCTGAGCAGCATGCGGTGACTTGCCTTTTAATTAACGAAAATTTACTAGTATCGTTCTATTCATATTACGATAACTTTCCTAAACTTATGTTTCAATTATGATGTTCACATTTTGTTTGGGAAATCTACTTTACTACTGTCATTACTAGATGATTTAGAGCGACAGGTCAATTTGAATCTGTAAACAAATATATTGAATATTTCCCCTAATCCATAGTGAATTTCCAAAGCAACTTACACAGTTCATTTTTGTTAGTTGACCCATGCATGTACTATAAAATATCTTTAATTACACATTACATGTATAAAAGCATACACATATGTATGTTATATAATGAAGTAATATTGATTTTCATGAAAGTTTCACCACTTCTAAACATCCGTAAACATTGGAACTCTCCTCAAGCATTGAGAACCTAACTGTTATTGGAAACAGTTCCAAATAGGCTCTTGACGGTTTGTTAACGGAAGAGGCAAGTGCTATTTTACCGAACTCTTAACTTGTTTATTGTGACGGTTACAGAATACCTGGAAGTATTATTATAATTTTGCATTTCGTCTGCTGAGTGTGGTACCCCCCGTATTTAAAAGATTGGTGACACAGCAGAAACCTTAGAGGCATCAGACGAACAACTAGCTAAGAAGTATAAAGCTTTAACAGCTTAAGTTTATCGTTATTACGGTTTTAAAAGTTTAACAACTTAAGTTAACATTTGCGTAATACAAGAAATCATGCTGTTAATGTTGTACAAAAGATAATTATGTAATTGTAATTTCTTGAATGAAATATGAACCTTAAAAATTAAAAAAAAAAGAACTATTCGAACCTGTTCAGAACGATTGTAAATGAAAATCTTTTACATAAAACGACCTTTCCTTAAAAGCTTTTCCGCTATCGATACGCCGCCGACGCGACCGTTTTGCCGGTCCGCTAAATATTATCGCTTTGAATGTTCCCCTGAATGGTGCGTATCAATTGGAGCAAGATAGCAAAAACTAATTTACGGCCCCAACAGCAAGAAAGACACGTTAACGACTCAATAAGCGTTCATCTTCATGCCGTCATGCCTAATTACAGTTATCTGAACGATGCTTAAGTCTAGAGAAGAGAAATTTTATAATATTATAACCTTCATCTGTACTTCTACTTTTATTAATTTTTTCAACACATTTTAATCTTCATCTGTGTTTAGCTAAGAATTAGTTTTATGTAAATATAAAAAAAATACGGATGTATATAACATGTCATGGACATTTGTTTCCAGTAGATTATCAACTCTACAAATATCAGGGATATTTAATGACTAATGATGTATCGAGTTGTTGCTTATTTGGTTAGATTGTTGTTGTATAAATTATTGTATTGTTGTCAATAACTCTATAGTCCCTGACAGGTGACAACAGAAATTATTGTATTGTTGTAGTCAACAGTACAATGATTTCAAGAATGTTATTGGTACGTTCACGTTTAAAGCATATAAAATAACTTACATTATTAAAAGGTTATAGTTAATTTATGTATACTAGCTTAGCAGCTTTTATCATCCTTATTCATCCTTACGTCCTTACTAATATTATAAAGGCGAAAGTTTTTTTGTATGGATGGATGTTCGTTACTCTTTCAATACTACTGAATGGATTTTAATGAAACTTTACAATAATATAGCTTATACATCAGAATAAGTCATAGGCTATAATTTATATACATATTTTATGTATATCTGTGTTTTTGTCTGAATGTTACGCCTTCAGCCAATTCTACGCAGACGTAGTCGCGGGCAGCACCTAGTAAAAATATATGAAAACGTGCTGGTGCTTAAAATATAAGGCGAGAATTTAAAATGTAATCAATTTAGCTGACAGCAGCTTTACAGCGAGCGTCGCCTCATATGTGAGGATTAGTTTTCCTATTTCGCGGAATAAATGGTTCTTTACAACTTTTATATTGGACTTCCATAATCCTCCAAAATACGGGGCATTTGGGAAATTGAGTTTCTAAACAATGCGAATTTCAGCGAGCATGTGTCTAGAATACAGTTTAATACTTGTTAGCTTTCGAAAAGATATAAAGTAGACAAACGGATATGTAATAATTATCAGATTCAGATTTATTTAGAGTATTCACAAGGCTTTAATTAACAGATTAGTATAATAAATAATATCACAGGAAGTCCTAAAACATCTTATAAGAGCCTGAAATTTTGAAAACGATATCGTTATCAAATGACACAGAGTCTTCTTTGATAGAGGTTTTACAGAAGAGCGCACGGAGCACAGCAAAGAAAACCGAAATCACCATCACGCTCAACGATATCACCTAATGCCTTATCAATAGTACAAGGCGATTGGAAATTAATTAATTATTCCGGTAATACAATGTTTAAATACATTTTATTATCGCGTAAAGTATCAATGTCGTCGGACCATTTAGTGGGAGACCTTCCAATGCTACGTCTTCGTAACCGATGGATGCAAATAGCAAAGTGTCGTTTGTTGTGGCGCTGCAAAGGGTGGGTCTTTGTTCAACAGTGAACTGTTTGCGTCTGTTGATGATGATGGTGAAAGTATCAATAGAAACAGGATGAAAGAAATAATCATCAACTAAGTGTAATTTAGAAGTACTTGTACGTTGCGTAATATGTTCTCCATATGTTTGTCCAATTATGTTGCAAATAGCTGCACTTCAAATTCATTTAACACATTAGTGGCATCAGTCAGATGCAATGTAGTAAACATGTTTGGTCTTAAATAAGTTACATTACGCGTCTTTTAAATCTAAATATGAATAGGATCTGAAGTCGGAGTGTGATCAAATTTCCCTGTGTACTTAAACTCTTACCGAAGAGAGAAATTGTTCACAAAACCTATCAAATTCAAGAAAACGCCTGGCACCCTTCTCTAATATCAGTATACTTGAACACCCAAGTTAATTTTTCAGTGGCAGAACCAATGATAATGCTTAAAGCAATTTTAAGTGCTTTTGTCAGATGTCGAGTAAGACGGGAACTTAGGGATAAAATGAGGGTAACATTTTAGAAAAAAATCAACTAATTCAAAATATAATTAATATCAAAATATACATTCAAAAAGAAACTCAAAATATCACTACACGCCATCAGCACAATCTGTTGGGAGAGGTTCAACAATCAGATGTGATATATATGCTGATTTAGTTTAATATAAAATAGATTTCCTCTTGTTGCAGGCGAGCAGCCCCACTCAGTACTTCTGGTACAGAACCACCCTGCAAATCTCTGAGGACATAAATCACCCGCAAACGTTCAACTACAAGATCGCCATGGCACTGGTCATCGCTTGGATATTGGTCTATTTATGCATGATCAAGGGAATCGCCTCCTCTGGGAAAGTTGTTTACATAACAGCTACATTCCCCTACATCGTTCTAGTCATATTTTTCTTCAGGGGTATAACTCTGAAGGGTATGAGCGATGGCTTGATACACCTCTTCACCCCGAAGTGGCATACGATTCTAGACCCTGTGGTATGGTTGGAAGCGGGCACTCAGATATTCTTTTCCCTCGGCCTGGCCTTCGGTGGGCTAATAGCCTTCTCATCATACAACCCGGTGGACAACAACTGTTACCGTGATGCGATTATGGTCTCAATGACCAACTGCTTAACGTCCATGTTCGCTGGAATAGTCGTCTTTTCGATCATCGGTTTTAAGGCCACTATGATTTACGAGAAATGCTTGAGTTTGAGGAACGAAACTCTGTTGGAAACGTTCGGTTCATCTTACGAGTCCATGGTGTTCCCGGCGGAAGGTCAACCGGTGACGGTAGACGTAAACGGCAACTTGACCACTTTGCTGATGCCCCATTTGCCCGAGTGTGATCTTCAAAAGGAGTTGGATAATGTAAGTCCATTTATAGTATTACACTAACATAGCTAGTTAAATCCCTACCTGAGTGTATACTTACATTTATATACAATGTATTTCAATATTTCCTATTAAACTGATCTTAACGGATTCATCCACTTAGTAACTGTATGTTAAACCATTTTATTAAAGCCTACTTCATAAGAAGGTTAAGGTGTTGTTGTTAGAATAGGTGAGCCGAGGCTTTCCTGTTCTCTAAGTCTTTATGGGCTTTAGGCTAGCAGAGAATAGTACAACAAAATAAAATACATACGTCCCTGGCTTAAATATAGCCATGATGATTTCGAAAGGGTGTTTAGAATGTTCCAGTGTCACCGGAGCAACCTGGAATTGTCGCTATACAGAGTAGGCATAATTTGAAGCAGGCTCTACTATATAAACCCATATATAAACGTTTAACTGTGGTAGGGCCAGGCAACAGTGTTCGCTGTTGCACGAATAGGCAGGTCCGTCCGAGTTAGTACCACGACCTCACAGAAGACCGGCGTAAAGTAGAAGTGTTACACTTCTGCGTTTCGTCTGGTGAGAGAGGTAGCCGGGGCCAATTTATTAAAAGGTGGCAGCGCATCAACAAATAATCACCCTACGGGTGTTGCAAATGTGCATGGTCGGCGGTTAACACTTAACATCAGGTCAATATATATATATATATATATATATATATATATGTATAAATCTTTTTCAATAATTCAGCGAATTTTGTATTGTAATCTTCTTAAATCGACAGTTTGTTGCACGAATTAACAAATATTTCTGAAATGAAAAAGTAAGTTTGTGTAAGTTATATATGCTAAAATACTTCTATCACAATAGACTGATGAATTTCATAAAAATATGTGTGAGTTTTGAGAACTAGATGAGAATAAACGAAGTGGGGTATCATAAATTTTCTCAGAAAGTTTTTACACTTGAAAGCGGATTTTTATTCAAAGTAAAACTTTGATAAATCTTGTTAAATTCAAATGTTACGGTAGATTTTTTGCGACAAACTTCACTTTATACGTAACTATGTGGAGACATAAGAATTATTCCTTTAACGAATATATTTTTATGTTAGAAGATGATTTTAAGCGATAACCGCCGCCCATGGACATTTGCACAAAGTGCACTCCGGTCACTTTACTCACCAGACAAAATGCAGAAGTATAACACTTCCACTTCATGCCGGTATTCTGTGAGATCGTGGTTCTTCCCCGGACGGACCTCCCCATTCGTGACACTGTTGCGTGGCCCTACCACAGTTGAGAAAGAACAAGATAAGAACTTTGTGACATCACAGATAATTGCTTAATACTCTTAAATAAGAATTATATTTACTGTGTTCTTTTGCAGACGGCATCTGGCACGGGCCTAGCGTTCATAATATTCACGGAGGCAATCAACCAGTTCCCTGGTGCTCAGTTCTGGTCCATCCTGTTCTTCCTTATGCTGTTCACCCTCGGCATCGATTCCCAGTTCGGAACCCTCGAGGGTGTGGTCACCTCGATAGTCGACATGAAACTCTTTCCCAACCTTCGGAAGGAGTATCTAACAGGAGGCCTCTGCTTGGTCTGCTGTCTGTTGTCTATGGGCTTCGCGCACGGTGCCGGGAGCTACATCTTCTTGCTGTTCGACATGTACAGTGGGAACTTCCCGCTTCTGATTATCGCCTTCTGCGAGTGCATTGGGATCTCTTACGTGTACGGAGTTAAGAGGTAAAGGCTAAGTGCTATCTATATAATGAAATACTATTCAAAGAACTGTAATGACACTTTGAATTGAATGAATTATTATACTCAAACTCGTGGTTCAACTTAGATAGACGCGTTCACGAGCGGTTCTCACCGCCCCAAGCCACCGATTAATTACATAACGCACACATGAACACATGCGTGGCCCCACCCAATGCGGTTGGCCATTTGAAACTCGTGGGTTCTGGTAAGCGCACGAGCAATAGTCTACCGAGTAGAAAGCATCAGTTAGCAAAAGACAAAAAAATAATTAGATACCCTTGATTAATGAAATCGACTGAGATTTGCATTAAGCCGTCGTTATTGATCCACATGACCTACTGAGGCTAAACATTTTAAATCAAAACTGCTAACTGGAGATGTGGATAGTATTCTCATGTGTTCGAAACAAGTCCCAATGACAAATAGTGAAAATTTTAATAACATTATATTTGAATGCTTACATGATGTATCAACACTATCTTCGTAATCAGGCCACTTCTGGACAAAGGCGTAACACCCTACATGTATTTTTCTCTATTCGGATTCCCTTTCCACCTTACTGTCACGGCTTAAATCGAATGGATAAAAACTAAACATTATTGTCAGATTCGCCGATGACATAGAGCTGATGACGGGCCGCAGGCCTGGCATTTACTGGCTGATCTGCTGGAAGTACTTGTCACCGCTGGCTATGCTGTGCATCCTCGTGTCGTCTTTCGCGGAGCTGGCAGTAGAGGGTTCAGGGTACGACGCCTGGATAGCTTCGAGGGGCGACACTGAGAGGAAGTCGTGGCCTGCATGGGCGGTGGTACTGGTGCTGGTGCTTGTCTTGGCTTCTGTGCTGTGGATACCGGGCCTCGCTATCTGCAGGTAGGCTGCGAATGAGTGTCAGTTGAATAAGTCAAGGGTTTTATGCTAATCCTTACTAATATTATAAACGCGAAAGTTTGTGTGCATTGATGGATGTTTGTTACTCTTTCACGCATAAACTACTGAATAGATTTTAATGAAATTTTACAATAATATAGCTAATATATCAGAATAACACATAGGCTTTAATTTATAAAGATATTGTGTGAATTGTCCAAAATATAGGTAACGCGGTTAACAGCTAGTTATAAACAAACTTTTATAATCAGACCAGTGCCACAATGTTATAGGTACAAACCTATAACTTCATAAACTTTCTATATATTGCTTGTGCTTTACGACAAAAGGATTTATGGTCTATTCATACTCCATGCTTTTATTTTAATTAAGTAGGGCTTTATAAATTTTAAACTGCCTTTTAAATGCATGCATGTATGAAATGGAAACGTAGATTTTAAATGAGATTCATCTTTGACCTCAATTTAAGAGTGATCTATGAAATGAGGTTTACTCGTACATTTGCAGATCGCTCAACGCGACAATTGTTACAAGAGGTCAAATACAGGCCTAAATTTCGTTGAAATTTATCAGTGTTTGATTGTTTGCTGAACTTCTTGTACTTTTAGACCCCATAAAAATGATTTTTGGAAGAGCTATGGAAATTTAAATGCCCATTTTTATAATGCTATACTCTGCACTCAATGATGATGAAATTTAAAATTTGTTTTTGTTGAATAGTTTTTGTGCTTTTGCGCGTTCATTTCTATACAAATTGCGGTTTTCACTAGGAAGTTGTACGTATGTACCTACATATGTGTAAGTTAAACGGAAGATAAGTTTGAAAGCAATGAAAGGAGTTCGAAGTGGTGACGGAAGTAAAATGCTTTTAGCGTCTCTCAAGAATTATGAGGAGAAAAGTTTGTTTGAGATATCTTGCATTTCGCTGACTGGTCCATTTTATTCGAAAGACAATCGTAAAGAAATCTTTATATACTTTAATGAAAAATGTCTGGTTAAAATTTAAGTTTTAGCTTATACGAATAGCATATTTGTTTCATACGATTTTTAAACATTTTGATTTACACTTAAACACCAATATATTATGATGAAAAAGGTTAATTTTACGTATTAGCCATTTTTTTAGAGACAAGATGGCAATGGGCAAGCTTTTCACTTGATAGTAAGATTCCACTGGACAACCGTAAAACCTAAAGGGTAGAACATGCGGCGCAAACTTTCAAAAGTGCCAGCCTGCAGTTACCTCAATGACCAGTCGAAACGGATATTTTTTTTATCCAAACGAGCTGGCAGTTCACCTGATGTTAAGTAATAATCATCGCCCACAGACGTTTGCAACACTCGTAGCGTTGCAGACGCGTTGCCACCTTTTAATAAAGTGGGCCCGGCTACCTCGCTCACCAGATGAAACGCAGAAGTGTAACACTTCTACTTCACGCCGGTCTTCTGTGAGGTCGTGGTACTTACCCGGACGGACCTGCCCATCCGTGCAACAGCGAACACTGTTGCGTGGCCCTACCACAGTTAGGTAGGTAGTAGCATATGAATAAATGCCTCCACCTTACCGGCAATGGTACTTCCCCGGTCTACAGTACTGTTACTGTAGACCGGGGAAGTACCGCTGCCAGTGGGCTGTGACGGCTCCACGACAGTTGTTGTCGGCACGTTCGTATTTCCAGATACTTCGGCATACCGATCATAGAGGACGAGGAGCGCGCGTGGTTCCCGGCGGAGGATTTGCGCGACTTCCACGGGATTGAACCGCGGCCCGTCTCCAGGGCTGAGGTGCTGCTGTTCTGCACGCGGCCCGACGGCACCGAGGGCTGCTGCTGGCCCGGCTGCTGCGAGACCGATGACGAGGATTAGACGTCCCATCCCACCTCAGAGTGACAGCCCTGTCATGTGTTGCGTTATTGACATCATTCGATTAACGGCCTGATTAACTAAGTATTCTGACATTAGCTCCACAGTACTTACGTCAAAATTCTATATCCAGTAACCAAATTCATCTGTAGGTAGACCGTTTATTACCGTATTATTAGATGCAGCTTGTCATCTTTCGTTATTTTCGAAAAATCGACTTAACACATAAGTCCATGTTAGTATCCGAATTGTTTTGTTTATTCGATACTCCATATTCAAGGTCAATTTGCTCATCTATATCGAACAAATCTTACGGTATCCAATATTCATTCATAGCATCTTGCCATGGCATTAGCGATTGTAATTAAGTCCGCTCTTTATTATGCTTTTTAAGGTTTTAAATAAAGCATAAATAAATAAATCTCATTTTTACGCGGAATCTTTACAATTATCAGATTTATGATATATTTTTATTTATTATTTATTTATTTATATTATTTATATTTTCATTTATCTTTATTATCTTGTCTCTTATTCTGGCAAGGCATTATTATCATTATGCGATGTATTACACATGATCGATATTTGACCTTATTTACACATATTAATTTTTTAATATGACAATTTCGATCAAACTTGTCAGATATCTTACATAGAGCCGTAAGATATCGTGACAAGTTTTAATCACACACGCCAATCATGTGCTTCTATGTGTCTACTTTTAATGTTCATTAGTGAAAATGCTAAAATGAACTTTCGGTGTACATTAGAATGCGTGCGTAATTATAACGTGTTAGATTGAACGCCTCACCCAAAAGCTAGATAATCTTACATAGGATGTTTTGGTATCCTTTTAAATTAATAAAAAGAATAGAAATAATTCATAGAACAACAGCGGCCTTGGGATAGGTTCGTTCTTCTATTGATAAAAACTAAAACTCTTATTTCATTGGGTTTTTGTTTTCCTACGGAAAGTGTATTTATTATGATTGACCTATACATATTATATAACTGCATATCTAAAATAACTGAAAACCATATCGCAAATATATTGTCGAAAACGACTCTCCAAAACATTAAAAATAGTAATAGGAATAGTTGTTCAATTTTAAATGAATTAAAAAATGAAACAGATATTATATCGTATAACATTTGAGATAGGTTCGTTCTTACTAATGAAGAAAACTCAAACTTTCTTTTATTACGCATTGGTTTCGTACTGTAGATTTAATCACTTATTATTGACATTTATTTATTTCCGCATTAACAAGTGACTGAAATGCATATCGCAAATATGTTACGGAGAACTATAATTATGAATATTTTTTATATTTAAATATTTTATCATTTTCTCAATTTACAAAGGTTTAAATTAAGAGTTTTTTTAAACATAGAAAATATCGTAAATAAATAGAAGTTTCGAATGATACAATTAATGAAAGAACTTAATAATATTTGTCTTTTACAAACTTTTTTTTCTAGGTATTTATTATACAATCGAAGTATTGTTTAATTTTATTTAGTTTTATATTGACTTTTCGAAACGTATTAAATTGAAATATATCTACTTGCATACGCCATTTGACCCAGTTTGATAAATATGTAGATTTTTTTCAAACAATAATTTAATATTTTACGCCTAAGTGTTAACTCTTAGTAGTTGTTGTTGTTGTCGTTTTTAAGACTGCGATTATTTTAGAAACTTTACATAATTGTAGCGCGTACACGCCAAAACACATTATTAAATTTTCTATATTTTTTAGCGACAGAAGTAAAAAAAATATGCTTCTTTCGTTTTATTACCTAGTAAATAGTTTTCGGTCCATAAACCCGAAAACTTTGAATAAAAATAATCTCCTAATTATTGAAAAAAAACTTAAGTATTCATTTTATATCATTGTTTAAATGTGTTAAACGCATATTTTGAAATCTAGTACTATATTAATATGTCATGTTATCAGTATATTAAATGACATTGTAAGTAAGGTAATATTTGACAATAATATGCGTGTGCAAAATATAACCTACGAAATGAACGAAGACAATAAAAAAAAACAATAAATATTTAAGCGTGGACAATAATTCTACATATAACATTTAATTTAAGCGACCGTTTATAGGTACTATTAACAAACAGCTTTTTAGAAAATATATCCTAGATACGAATATGTTTACTGTCATACAATATTGTTTATGAAATAATTATTAAATAAATTACTTAATTATTATAATAACTCCCTTTTGTATAGATCTATCGTAAATAAAGTTTTTTTTATTATTTTTGGCGAGAAATGGGAGTTATATTTTCAAATACTTAAATCATTATTTCACTTATTTGTAAAATCGACGTTTGTAAAATTATTAACATTCAGTGTAATTTCTTGTGGTACTTTTATTTATTTTTTCTATTTGATGAAGTTATTTAATTTGTGAAAATGTGATGTTTTGTGTAGCTATCTATAGCGCAATTAACTTTAATAAAAATAAAGTTAACTGCGCTGTAGCTATACTTACCATACCATAGACATTGTGAATCAACATCTGTTGTTTGAATGTCTGGGGTACTAATTTTATCAACCGACTTAAAAAACGGAGGACGTTCCCAATTCGACTTTATCTTTTTTCTGTTTGTTACCTCAGAACTTTCGACTGGGTGTATGGATTTTGATGATTTTTTATTTGAAAGCTGGCGCTTCCCATGTGCTCCACATTAATTTCTTAATTAATTGGATCTTGGCCTCCGGAGATACGTAGGGAAGTCCTGAAAATAAATTATAAAATGAATACAGAGCGAGATAATTGAAGTCGGTTTTGTTTTTCGTTAGTAAAAAAATTGACTTGTTGCCATACATTATATTCAAATATGAAATAAAATGAACTGTTAGTTGTGTTTTATCCTGTTATGCCCTGTTACCCCATTCAATTTGAGAAATTCATACATATTTAATGAAAATGTTATATCTATTTTACGAAAACATATCATATTTTATCATTCATTATATCTTTTTATTAATGTTTGCTGTGATGTGGTAGGCCTACCCTTCTGATGTTGCACAAATGAGCAGGTACCACTCACTGAAGACCAGCGTGAAGTGGAAGTATAATTCATTCACGTTTCGTCCGGTGAGTGAGGTAGCCGGGGCCCACTGTTTTAAAGTTGTCAACGCATCTGAAAGCTTTCAGGTTTTGTTACACACTTAACATCAGGCGACCCTCCAACTCGCTTGACAACTTTTCACCTAAGATAAGGACTATTTTTATATGTTAACTTTTTTAAATGTTTAAAAAGGTCACATATAATTTTTTTTATTTTTATGAATAATATTTTTTTTTTGCTAACATATAACAAAAAAAAAATCAATTACTATAAAAATTGTTTCCAATAAATTTGCCTGTGTAAATTGCCTGCATTCAAATGAGATACCAGTCACTGAAGAATATGATTAATATTAATATCATTTATAAAACCGTATCAATGAATAATTAAATTTTTATTTATTAAATTCCCAATAGAGAATTTCATTCTATACAGGGTGGCTTTCGAAAGGTGCCCAAATTCACACAGGAGGTTCAGATTCGGTAGTATAATCGTTAATTGAAATAAAAACAAACTTTTTTTTTTTTCAAAGAAATTGCTATTCCAATCCCTAAAAAACAGAACTTGATGACAATGCGGCAGTCATTCATAAATGCGTCGTATAGTTTTGAAACGAACTTGTGTGCGTGTTAGTTATGAATGATCGCGCGATAAAATAAATGAGTTGCCCATAAATCGCGCACTTTTTGAGATAAGTTCAAATTAATTTATTTAAGTTATTAATTTTTTATTATTGTTATTAGTTCTATAGAAAAGACAATCTTTATTGATCTAATATTTACAAGATTAAATCTATCTAAAATTACATATTATCTAATAAACCTAATCCACGCGGCATGGTGCCAAGAACGCTAGCTGCATTTCCTCGAATCCAGCTGAATAGAAAAAAAAAAAAAAAAATTTAATTAATTACGAGTAATTTTCATTTTAGTAAGTATTTTTTTAAGTATTTTTCATTTTTTCTATAACTTTACTTATGTATAGAATTGAAATAAAAAATAGATAGGGAAAGATTGGCACCATTCGTACACTTTTTAGACATTGATTTTTAAAAAATCTGATATCAAAGATAAATTGCTTAATCTGTTATTATAACAAATTACATACATTCAGCTTCGTAATAAAAATTTATGGAGTCATTATTTCTTAAAATAAATGAATGAAATGTATTTTAATAAAAGATGTCAAATGTCCGAATCTACCCCACTATAGGGGTACATTCGTACATTGGTAGGGGCACATTCGGACGATAGGTTGGTAGGTAGGTACAAGTTAAATAAAATAGCAAATCAAGTATGAAAACTCGTATTAATTGGCATTGAAAATAGCAATGATGTATTACAACGAAATGACAAAACTTTTATCAACAAAATATATTAATTTCTTAGAAAAATAAATCAGTAAGTAAAAAAAACACAACATGGTGCAGACTGCACTAATTTTTAATTCGGATCAATCAATATTCTAGTTATTTGGTGTATCAGACATAAGTTGAAGATAAACTGTAACTACTTAAACATATCTTTTATACACAGTTTTCAAATTATCGTAAAACTCATATACGACTGTTTTATTGAAAGTAAAAGATCAAGCAGCACTCGATTTTTCGGGTTGTCTTTAACTTAAACTACTATTTCTCTTCCAAAATCCATGAATCCAGTCTATATCATCCTTTCCAGTTTCATCTCATTTTGGCGGATATGTACATTTCAGAGCTTTAGCATAATCATATGCCAGCTTTCTGACGTTTAATATTGTGAGCCTGTAATGCATTTTTGCGCTTGTTTCTATATATTCGTTCAATTGATACTTGTTCTTTAGAAAATAATGTTGATAACTGGTGAATTTAGACTGATACGTGCGGCTCATGCCAGCTTCATCATGTTTATCTTTTACTTTCTTT